ATGACTTGAAATCACTGACATCCAACAAGCCATTTATAAACTTATTGCAGACAAGCTCCTCTAGTTCCTTCCGTGGCTTCTGTCACAGATCATCTACTTTCAATACTGTCCAGTATTTGCAGGCAAGAGAAGATGAACCATCAGCCAGCATATGATATTTTTGCTAAGATGCGTAAGACTTTCTGACACGGTCTATGTTTAACATACATCAGAATCAACCTTAAAGAACACGGAAAACTCTTTCACGAGTGGAATCATACAGTATCTGTTAGTCCTGGGTTTTGATTTTATTTCGTCAAGATACCGCTTTTCTATTAACAAATGAATTTAAATCCCATAGCTAAAGGAAAAAAAACCCAAGAACTCACTTTCTCTTTCTGTGCAAGTGGTATGAGGTATGGAACACCTCCCACATCTGCTATTCTAGGCTTTCCACAGATTCCTGGAAGAACAAAGCCAGTTAATTTGGTACAGTGTTTTCCCTGACAATCTTAGATCAGCATGCAGCCCAACACAGCAAAGAACAAGTTCCTCAAACATCTAACACACCTGCAGATCACAACTTCTCTAGCACGCTTAGATAAGATGCTGCATTATTAAGAAATGTAAGGTATGTAAGCCATACAATAGTTCACAGTAGTGGAATTTAATGCTAGGCAACTTGTAAAATAAGCACAAAACAAATTTACTGTGGGCAATAACTGCCATTTGCTGTTTCTCCAGTAACATGCTCTGACCACACAGCTGACATTCCCATTGGGAGACTCCACTTGGGAAATTTCTGCAGTGTTGGATGCCCAAGTCATCCCATTTATTTGGGATGACTTTGGGCATATACTGGGTCTGAAACACCTTCCCAAGGTGCTTCTTGCACTGCACTTATAATAGAGGGAAATCATGACTAGTACAGATGAGGTACCTGTCTGGCAGACAGGTAATGTCAAAGACTATGAATCCCACACAAAATAAGACAGTTTAACTTATAATATATGGATGGCAGGAATCTTAAACAAATGGAAGTGCAGCTCCTTAGGTTTGGATAGTGATTGTCATGGATCTAAAACATTTATCCACGTCAAAACCTTTTGAGCACATTAATTGAAGTGTATGAAATAAGTGGGAATTGCAGACATAGATTAAGATAAAAAAGGAGAACAACTGCTTGGATTATTTGTGCTTGTTCATTCATCAACTAGGAAGCAAATCCAGGAACAAAATGTGACTTTCCCTTCGTCCAAATTCTTCACCTGAAAAACACCTGAACTCTTCTAATAGAGTTAGAGAGATCTGCAGAAGTCAAGAGCACCAGGTTACCTTTAGCAGGAAAATTGAAAGGCTCCTGAGTCAGATCAGGACAGTCTACAACAGAGACTTGGGCATCAGCAAAGTTTTCCTTTAGTCCTTTCTGCAAAACTATAATTAAAAAATAATTAACAGCAAAGTTATTGACAAGGAAAAATTACAGAGAGGTCGACAAACCACTAACAGAAATCTGTGTCTAGCCTTCACTTCAGCAAGACACTTTAAAGAACACAGATACCCTAAGAAACTCTACTGACTTAAGTGTTAGTGCCTGTAGGTGCACTTCTTCTTGTCTCAGAACTTTAGAGAACAGCAAGAACTTGTTCAGAACATTGCTAGTTACCAATTAATTAAGAATTTCACAAAGTACAGCACCTGTGAAGTAACATGGATAACCTTAAACTACATTCAGCAGTGTTTGTTTTTGTTTTGTTTTTTACAAGGTCAGACAGTCGCAATCACAGTCAAGTATTATATGAGAAGAAAAGAAATAAATGTCAGCTGAAGTAATGATGACTTTTTAAAATATATGAACTGGACTTCCTTTGGCCTGATTGTAATCTCAGACTGCTGTCTGGAAACACCTCCTTGTGCCATGTTTCTGTCTATGAGCAGCTATTCTGACAAGTGCCACTGGCAATACAGGGCAAATACTGGCAATACAGAGCAAATAGTGAACAGAACTGATGGTCAGTCCCAAATCTGAACTTTTTCTTTTGTTTCATATCAGTGTTTTTAAGCCCAAAACCTGCCTAAGCACCTCAACAACAGGGATGATTTTGACTTAAACAAGTTCAGTGTTTAACAAGAAGCTTCTAGTGCATTTTGTGAAGACTTTGGAAAGAAAAATAAGTTGTTCCCCACAGTCTGGGTATAACTCAGTCACCAGCAGATGAGCCAGCCGAGCTCAAGGAAGACCATATTGCATCTTGTTAGGTGTGTTCTGAGCAGTTCCAAAAGAAATACTGAAGGCAGAGGAGAGCAGGTGATCCCAATTGTGTAATTAACCTCAGCCTGTGATTGTCAAACTTTCACAACCCCTATACAAACCTACAAATGCAGCAGATTAAAGACACTGAGAGTTTGCTAAGGTGCTCTAATGTCACCTGGGGTTTTGAAGGGGGAGTTAGCCTTTGCTTTAAAGAAGTAACAGTGTATAGAAAAACAGGGCTTAACATCCCAGTGGACCAACAGCAAGAACGTTCTGCATGCATTAGCTGTACAGAAGATTAGCTGGGAGCACTAAGGAAAGTTTGAAAAACATATTTCTAGTTTATAAAAGGTTACATGACTTACCTCCAGCAAGCTCCTCCAGGCTTGGAACATGAAAAGCAAACTTTTCGACCTTCGCCATTGCCCTCTGGTTCTGATTTCTTCAGGTTAGAAATGACAGTATAACACACTGCAGAAGTGACTGATCTGTCAACAAGGATAATGGTTTAGCGATTAAAACACGCTGTTTGCAGTATGCAATTTATCTGCCAAATTCACACAAGAGTACATAGACAACAGTAGAATTGTTATTACACCATTGAGGGAAAACTGACAGCTTCAAGATTAATGTTTTCTCACGTGCTTTGGAACAAGGTGTGCCCACCAGCTCTGCAGCTGGCTCAGAGCACTACATATGCTAGTCCTCAAACTTCCAACTCAGTGCAGACAAAATACATAATATGCTGAATCTAATTCAAGGGACAGGTCAGTTATCTTTGTATCCTTTGTAAGCCTGAAGCCACACTGCGTTGGAAGAAAACCAGGATCTTCTAAGCACAGCAATTGCCTCACTGTGTCTTTGCTACCTTAATGTTTACTTTTCCAGCATTGGCCACTATGGACTTTCAACCTTGGCTCCCAGTTTCTTATGGACACGTGTTTCCCTTTCCAAAGGGGAAGAAACTAGTAGCATGTCTCAAAGAAAAAAAAAAAAAAAAAAAAGCAGCAGCAAGTTCTACACCATTGGGCTCTATATCAGTACAGAGCCCTTAACAAAAAGCTTTGTTCAGAACAGAAATGCTGGAGCTTCCTTTGAAATGAGCTGTATTTCAATCAGCCATGCAACAGCATAATCAGCTGTGAGGGCAAACCACCAGTGCTAGGCACAAGCAGCTGGTTAAGTGCTACCTATAAACCAGCCCCAACAATCATTAACTCCTTAGGCACATGCCTGCTGCACAAGACAGAAAATGGGTCTCAGGCCTTGGAAGAAAAGGTAAAGTAAAGGCACTCTGAGATTTGACAGAGCTTTAGTTAGAAAGGACTGTGATGTGACGTAGCTACTTATAGATACTTTTAGCTTCTATCTAAATAAATAAATTCCTGGCTTTTATGATTGTCAAAGATATGTGGGGGAAAACAAACAAACAAAAAAAAAAAAAACACAGTCCTCTCACAGGGAAAAAAATATAGTAAAGAAAAGGATTGAGGGAACACAGCAGTCAGCCAAGTCTTTGAGTCCAAAGGTCAGCCACCCCAAGTTCCTCCTGGAGCAAGCAGTAGAGAAAGAAGGAAAGAAAACTATCTATGTCGAGTGATTTCCATCTTAGTTGGGCTTATCCACTTCCACGGTAATTCTCCCTTCTCTGACTGTGAAGGAAAAGGAAACGGGCTGGATGTGGTGCCTGTTGCCTGATGGACTGAGTCAGAGCCCGGGGCTTTTAAGAGCGCACTGAGAAAAAAGGAGCAATTAAATCAGAGAGGGAACAGCTCCAGCAGCCCTGTTGTAAATCAGGTCCAGGAGGACGCCGGGCTCCTCGAGACAGCGGCTGAAATAGTCCTGAAACAGAGCCGGCATCGCGCAAAGGGCAGAGACGAGACTTGGGCGCAGATCAGCCAGGCGGGTTCCGACGCAACACCGCGAACACCGCCTGCTGCGCAAAGGAGAAAAGCGCCGTCAGCTCCCGACGCGCCGCCAGAAGCTCCGTGTTACACCCGCCTGAGCCAAGCGAGCGGCGCTCAGCGGCAGGGAAGCGGGGCGGCGAGCGCGGCGGGGCACGGGGACTCGGATGGGCGGTGATGGAGCGATGTTAGCGCTGCGAGAGGAGCTGCTGGCTGACGGACGGGAAAGGCGCACAAAGAACAGGTCCGGGATGGCACGGTAAGGACAAACACGTAAAGACGGTTCAGCTTTTCTTTGCCAGGCAGAAACCGGAAAGGAGAAGTTAACAGCTGGATAAAAACGCATCGGGGTGAGGGGGAGGAAGGAAGTATGAGGGACAAACTGGAGACAGCAGCCAGAGAGAGAAGGGAAAATCAGCCATAACATAGCAGAGAGAGGCAAAACGCCGGGAAGAGGAGGGGGGAAAGGCAGCGGCGGGGGAAGGCTGCGGGCACAGTGCGGGCACAGTGCGGGCACAGCCCGAGCAGAGCCGAGCCGAGCCGCGACGGACCGCGCCAATGTGCTGCCGAACTCAGCGCAGAGTACGAGAAGGGAAATTCTGGCCACGTAGGCGAGCGTAGAAAGAGCCCCGGAGCCAAACCTGTGAGAGCAGCTCTCCGAAGTCCCACAGCGAGCGGAACAGCAGAGAAATCCCAGAAACTGCGCCCGCTTCTGCTCACAGCCCGAAGCCAGCCCTCCCCACCGCCCCGCCTCTCCCCGCTCTCCTCACGGCGCGCTCCGTCCCGCGCGACCAACAGAGCCCCGCCCCCGCCTGATCTCGCGAGAGCCGAGCGCTATTTAATCTCGGGGGCGGCCATTGCGCGCCCTTTGCGCAGGCGAGCTGTGAGGTGAGTTGTGCTGTGGGTGATGGAGGTGCGCAGCATCCGCTGCCATCCGCGACGGGGAACCCGGTGCGGGGCTGAGAAGGAACGAAAGCCCGTTCTCTCGCTGAGCGCTTCCCTGGGGGAACGCGGGGAAGGCACTGGGCGGGCTGCGGGCTCCTCATGGCGGCGCGGCGCTGCGGTGGTGCGGCGGGAACCGCGCAAAATGTCGGCCCCGGGATGCTGGGCGGGCAGGGCCGTCCTGAGGGGAGGCGGAACGGCATCGAGCGATCGGCCGGCTGTGGGCGGGCTTCCCTTCCGAGCTCGGCAGCGGCCGTGTGGAGGCAGCGCAGACTCCCGGTCTTCCTCAGAGTTTGGGGCGCGTTGTGCCGCTCCGGTTCGGTCCCTTTGTGCGTATAGCCATGGGCGCTGGATTGCAGCTGAAAGCAAATGTTTTCTTGTGGGACTGATCTGTGCTGATGACCCGTGAATGAAATGTTGGTAGGTTGTTACAGTAGGAGGGTCTCAGGGCTGTGCAGTCAGCAAAAGGTTGGGAAAATGGGGTTCCTATGCCCAGATCCTTAGCTGAAAATGATTGAGTTACAGTGAAGTGTTTTTATGTGGCTTAGAACTGCAGCATCCCTGCAAGCTAAAGAAGCTGTTGACTTACATGCACGTGTGCTTGTAGGTGAAAAACCTTGCCTGGGGTAAAACATACTTTATTTTTTAGGCAGATTAAAACATGACTGATACAGATGAATCCCACACTTCTGGTTCTGATTTTCCTGATGCCCAAGATCTCATACCTACTCAGAGGAAAAAAAGATCTGAAATACCTGGGTGTGCATCAAGTGCACACAAGGAACATTTGTGCTCAAGGCAGAAGGATGCCAGTCCTGAGGAGACTTCAGATGAGATGAGTAGTACGTATACGTCTTCAACTGAGGTGGATAGCAGTGATTCGGAAATGTGAGTTATCTCTAGTTCCTTAGAATTGCTCATGGACAGAACTCGTGATACATCACAAATGTACGTGTTTTGTTGAATATACACATTTCTTTTTTAGGGATGTTTCAGCTGCTAGTGGCAGCAAGCAACATAGGAAACACTTTGTTGTACCTTCAAAGCAAAAGAAGAAATCGCAGCCTTCAAGGCAACAAGCAGAAGCTGATGCAGGAATGCCTGGCAGTGAAAGTTCCGATTCTTCTCTGCCCACTCAGAGCCCAGTGAAGCCACCTGAAGCCTCCCAAGAGAAGAAATCTAAGCTGAATCTGAAAGCCATTTTTGCCTATCACTTCAGAGGAAGGAAGTTTAAAGCTGCTGCACACCGGAAATACAGGAGCAGTGGTTCACAGAAGACAAAGAGACCCCCTGGGGGCTCACGGAAGCGTGGTAGGAAGCAGCCCATGACAGCCTCGCCTCAGGAGCGAAGGAAAAGGCTTAAGGATCGAGGCTTTCAGTTCCCTTTTGTTGAAAAACATTATGGGAGAAAACATATTCCCTTAAAGATGGTTCTTAGCTACGAGGTGAGCCCTCTGTTTTGTGGGAGATAAGTGATTTTAAATTTAAGTGAATGCTTCTATCTAAACACCACAGTGAAATGAATCCACTTTTATTTTGTTACATAGGATGATTGCTGCTTTCCATTCAGTACCTTAAAAAACAAGCTGACCTAAGGCTGTCATTTAATATTACAGTTCATTTGATTATATAAGTGCTTCATTTCTTTTATCGTGGCATTTAAGATGTATTTCTTTCTTTCAGCAAGCAGCTGCAAAGGGATATTTCCAGTATGTTGAAATGCTCAAATATGAAGAACACCTCAAAAAGGCTTTGAAAGCCCTTGAAGCCAGTGAAGACTTAGAAAGAGAATGCCTGGCAGTGCGGAAACACAAATATTTGGATGACGAAGGCCCCATTTCTCCTATCCAGGAGACAAAGTAAGTTCACATTGAGCAGTATAAAATTTGCTGTTTTGTTCTCAGCTTAAATCTAAGTTTGTGTGTGTAGCATTATTGTCTTTATTGTCTGGTATGTGCATTATATTCATTGGTGAAATAACTCTTAGATTTTTCTGTAACTCAGTAATGGATTCTGGTGGCTTAACACCACGGTGTTGTGTGCTCACTCATCTTCAAAAGAGCAGAGACAGAAAATAGATAACAACTCATGCCTTGTGATAAGGACAGGGTGGTCACTTACCAGTTACTGTCACAGGCAGAACACGCTCAGCTTAGGGAGGTGAATGTAATTTCTTATGTTATTGGTAGCAGGTGAAAGCAGTGAGAACTAAAAGTGAATCCCCCCAAGCAGTGCAGTGGGGGCTGTGCTCATTTCATAATGCTTTGCCTCTCTACCCCTGCTGTACGTGGAGTCGTAGAATCATAGAATGGCCTGGGTTGAAAAGGACCACAGTGATCACCTAGTTTCAACCCCCTGCTATGTGCAGGGTCACCAACCACCAGACCAGGCTGCCCAGAGCCACATCCAGCCTGGCCTTGAGTGCCTCCAGGGATGGGGCGTCCACAGCCTCCTTGGGCAACCTGTTCCAGTGAACAATGAGTCCTTCCCACGGGATGCTGTCCTTCCCCAGCTGACCCCAGGTGGGATCCTCCTGCTATCAAAACGTTGCCACTTCAGTCCTATACACGTGTGGAAGTTGGCTCCAGCCAGTACCTAAGCACCTGCATTCACTCCAGTAGGAGAAAAGAGAAACATGTGAGTTGTAGTGGTGGAAATGGTTCTGCCAGTGTCAGTAGCTGGGCTCTAGTTCCAGAAACTCAGAGAGCAACCTTGTGTAGAAGTGGGAGTATCCTAGACCTATAAGCTGTAGTGTTTCATATGCATTATGAGAAAGTGGTGCTGCATTAGGAGAATAGCTTATATATGCTGTGCTATTGTAAAAGTACAGATTTGATTTTAATTTTATGTATTTCAGTGATGATGATAATAACTGCTTGGGCTCTGATAATCCAGAAGACTTCGATGTCAGAGTAGTGGTGAGTAAATACTCCTTAATTTGAAAAATACTGTAGCCTTTTTTCTCTCTTGAGGTGTTAAAGAAGAAATAGATGATCCTTTGAGTACTTAATTCTTGAGCTTGGTGTGGTTCTGATGTGTGGTATGGGAGGAAGTTGGTTTGAGAGAAGTTTGCACTCTTTGGAATTGTGTTGAAATGTGTGGAAATTGTGGAGTTCTCTGAAGCATTCCTTAATCTTGGGAAATGAGTAATTGTTGATGTTTCCAAACCAGACTTGTGAATACTGTTTTTTTTCATTCTTAGGACAACAGCTGTTTCATTATAAGCAGCAAAATTCCCAACAAGAAGAAATCAAAGGCCAAAACAAAGCGAGCAAAGTCAGCTGGAGTGGTTGAAGTAAAGAAGAGTGGTGCTGCTAACTGAATATTTGTGTGGTTCTCTTTGAGTGAACAGAACATGAACGAATAAGGTGGCAGCAGTCACTTTTCAGAGACCTTATTAAGGTCTGCTTGTCTTAAAATGTTGATCTGAAGTCAGCATTGAGCTGTCAGCCAGGCAACTTCATCAGAATCAATTTAAGGTGAGCTTGGGTTTGAGACAGTTAGGAGAAAAGTGTGACCTGTGACCTGTCTTTTTGCTAAGCATTTTTGCAGTTGGACTTGGTGATCTTTAAGGTCTTTTCCAACCTGAGCAATTCTGTGCTGTATGAAGTCTGCACTAGTGATTGAGAGGCTGGTAATCCTGCTGAAACACCAACTTCTGCAGCTTGACTTCTGTCACCAATAAGTCACAGAGCTACAGAATTAAAAGTTCCAGATTTTGTAATTAAGAGGTGTTGTATAGAAATGTATATAAACATTCATATGGACATAGGTGTGCTCATCTTACGAAGGGGAACTTAGACTCACTTCTCTCATGGCTTTGTGAAGGAAGCTTGAGCTTTTCTTATTGTAACTTGGAGGGAGTAAGGCTTTTGAAGAGTAATGCTTGAGTGATGTTTTACTGTAAAATTCTTGCAAAATCCCTTTGGTGCATTTGAAATGATGAAATAATTGCCTATGGCTGTTTGTCCGTCATGTGGAATAACACTTCAGAAAACTAATTCTCCTAAATCCAATATAATCTAAAGTTGCTTTAAAACAACTAGCAGTGTGATGAAAAGTTCTTTTCCCTTCTTCCCCTCCTCAGTCTAGAATGGGGTTTTATGATGGTGACTCAACAGAAGATGGAAGCTCTTCAGCATGATAGGGACTATCTGCTGATCTCATAGCATGAGGGGAATTTGCTGCAGTTGCTCAGTCTGAAAAGAGTTGAAATTGCATTTCTAAATCATTGCAGAAGAATCTTGAGACTTCCCTGTTACAGCTTGATAGCTCTGCAACAGACTGCAAAAGTCTGCTCTTTGCTAGTTAAAGATCAAATTTATTGACAGTCCAAAATTAATGGCTAAGTATAATTCTTTTAGGCACCTACCTGAGAAATACTGTGTGTGGCTTGAAAGGCTCATCCTAGGTCTAGGAGTGGGGTTCTGGCGGGGTAAGGTGTAGTGAGGTGGGATGTGGAGTCCTGCTCATTCTGCAGTTCATGTGATGAATATTTCTGTTCAACTGCTGAGTGACTCAGAAATGAACTAAATTTCAATTCTGATTAGAACTGGATGTACACACCTGAAAAGTGAGTGCATTACAACTGCCAAATTGATTGCTGAAAAGTAGCTTTTGCCTTTAGGGATCTCAGCTTATTTTGACCATAATTGATTATTTTTGTTCCTTTTTTTTTTTCTTCAGTTTGTTGCTTTTGAATGATGAATATTGATCAACTGCTGTGAGAGGTAAGCTGTTACTGGTATGCAGTTCTTTTCTCCATGTAGCTTGTGGGCTTCATAACTCCTTCCAGTCCAGCTGTGCTGGAACAGAAAGCATCAGTTTTTTAACACCTATATGTTAAAAGCAGTTTGTGTTAGCAGTGATACACAGCAATGCTTGTGTCAGCTGGTGTTGAATGCTGCAGGGCAGATGAACCAACTATGGTTTATGTTGGGTGCTCCCTGGAGCCTTGTGCTCCTAGTGGTGATGTCTATACTGGTGTCTGGTGCAGCTGCAGCGTCTGATCAACTGGCCTCTGGTAACAAACTGCAGGGGGAAGGAACATCAGGAAGTGGTCTTGGATGTTACTGCCAAAGCTGTGCAGTTTCTCACAGAGGGATGTTATCAGATGTGTGCCTCTTCAGGAGGGCCTAGGATGTAGCAGAGAAGAAAAACTTAAGGGTTACTCGAGTTAAAACACAGGGAACTGGGAGGTACAGCTGCAGCAGTAATGAAAATGAGCATGTTTCCTTGTAAGAGAATCAAACTGGGGGATCTGCTTTCAGCTTTTGTTGCAGTAAGGGTACTGGAGTAGATAATCTGTCAACTTGACCCAGTGTAAATTGTCCTTACAACAGTATCTGATAGTAATAATACTGGGCTTGTTGCATCTGTTACGTAGTCCAAATCATACCTGTCTTAAAAACAGGAGGCCCAGTAATGGATGGTGAAAGTTAATGGAGTAAGTATATAGTTGAGTGAGAAATAACTTTGTGTGTGGTCTTCAAATGCTGTTTCAGGAACAGTGGAAAATAACAGGAGAGCAGGTGCATTCAGTTTCAGCACGTGTTCAGTTTTTGTCTGGTGCTGTAGACAAAAACCTGGAACCTGGTGCTTAGAAAAAACCCTTCTTTCGCAACCCACAGCCAATGCACGTATTGGCTGTGTTACTTATATGAAGGGACAGTGCTTATATTTATTCAAGCAGCAATTAATCCAAAGGGCACGTTTTGTATTGCATGTGCAGAAATGTTGTCCAGTTACATTGTTTCCTTCCTTCGTAGAGTTTTTCCAGCTATGAGAATTGCAGCAATGAGCTATTGTAACTGTTTTGATTTGTTTGAATTCTTACAGCTGGTGCACAAATCTGTTACCTCTGTGCTGTCCTGTGGAACACCTTGGTTAAGGAGGTATGCTTTGTTTCTGCTGAGTTTCGGAGTGAGGGAACTTGCATCTTTGCCTTCTCAGAGAGGCGTTGGTGGAGCTTGTCAAACACAGCAGTGGGGAACTGTTGGACAAGTTATGTGATAAAAGTGCATTTAAGTTGACCTGGTTCTTTAATGTTTCTTGAAGTAGAGGAATATTTGAGGAAGTTTTTTTCCCTTTGGGGAGGTTGTGGTGTGAGGACTGGAAGCTGAAGGCTTGGCTGTTTTTTGTTTTTTTTTTTCTTCCCCCTAAAGAAATATTTCATTTGGAAAGACAAATCCAGCTCCCAGAGGGCAGCTAGTGACGTGTCCATGTTGGAGTTAATTGGCTGGGCTTTAAAACAAGCTGTTCTGCAGGTGTAGTGAAGAGTTAATTGTTGTGCCTTGTTATTCAGCAGGCAGACACAACCACATGTGTGTCTCAATTGAACAACGGGGCTAGAAGAGCAACAGGTTGTGCTTTCCTCACTGTAACACCCATTGCAGTGGTGACAATGAGACCTGTAACAGGCTTACATACTGAGAGAATTATGCAGACACAGTTCAAAATGTGGTTACTCTTAAATTCTGAAGGACTTACATGTGTGGCGGTGTGAATTCTTGAATTCATAGGATCACAAGGTTGGAAAGGACCCACAAGATCATCCCATCCAACCATCCTCCTATCACCATTACTATCCACTAAGCTACTAAACCATATCTCATAGCATTCTGCATCCTGCTGGCTGTGGGAAGTGGAAGAAAAACACACAGTACTGAATTCTGTAAATAGTTTATCAAAGCACTCTTGGGAGCTGTCTTGAAGTGCTGTCTTGTAGTTTCTTTACACTGCAGTGCCAGCTGATGTAGGTTGACACCCTCACATGCATCTTCTGTGCCATAGTGCTTTGATTTCTTGAGTGTGGGTAGATTTTGTTGATAGTTTTGTGACAGACTTTGATTTGAAGTTCTGCTTGTTCAGTGTAAGAGTACTTGAATCTTGAAATTACTAAAATGCTGAAGAAACTTAGTACTGTTAATCAGTTCTTCTTTTAATCTGCTCTTCTTTTCAGCAAGCCCACCTGACAGTGCAGACCAGAGGAATGCCTTGGTGAGTTTGATACCAGATTAATGTAACCATTGCTTAGTGAGAGTTAGATGTTTTGCTACAACTTTCTGAGCTGACATATGGCTGTTCTTACTGAGTACTGCTGCATCAGAGAAAACTGACCATGAAGCTTGATGCTATCCAAGGCAGTTGTTGTGATGATTGGCAAAATGTTCAACTGCTCTGAAGAGAGTGAGTGAGAATGGCCTTTCTGAACAAATCTACTGCTTGACTTCATACTGCGTGTCCTTGCTGAGGATGGGGCATGCAGAATGTTCTCAGTGAATAAAGACTGGTTTTTTGTTGTTGTTGATAAAACTGTCAAATTACATTTTGAATGTTCACTGTAGTAGCTTGAAGTGTGATTGCAGTGGGAGAGGTCATCAGAAATGCCTGTGCTGATTAGAAATGGCTTCTGAAGGTTCTACAACTCACTGCTGTAGCTTCTATTGTATGCACATGCATGTCATTTTGTAACCCTGTGGTGATGTTCTTTTTTCAGGTGGCAGGTGATATGAGGAAATGGGAGAAGATAGGCAGAAAGCCACTTGACAGAGACAGGAGCTTCCTTACAGGTTAGTGTGCTGTCTGACCTTTTGCAGATGCATCAGTGTTTGAGGGGCTCTGGTTTTCAGTGGCTCTAGCTGTTCACCAGATGAAGCTCAATGCCTTTTCGAGTGTTGCAGGGGCATAATTCAGTGATGTTAGTATATTTTAAAGTAATATTCCCTTTCAGTCTGTTAAGTGAAGATTTCTTTAAATCTGGTTTATCCCAAGAAAGATCTCAGTCTGAAATGAAGCGACGAGCTTAACTTTCTAAACTTGGGCTTCACTTTAAAAGTAAATGAGTACTTAGGGAAGTTAGGAGTGTTTGAATAAATGTTGTAGTTAATTCCCTCCGTTTTATACTGTTCACGTTCATGTAATACAGTTCATGTAATCCTAGCTTTCAACATTAAACTGTTGCTGATGTGGAGTTATTACTGCATCTTCCAAATGAAATGGTAGTGTAACATTTCACTCCCTTTTCCCACAAAAGTCATGACAGAAGTAAGAAGGCACTTTATACGAGTTGTATCAGATGTTTTCCAGTCTGCTTGGTTTTTGTTTGGCTTATGGTCACAGAAATGTTGAGGTCTATCCCGATAGGATCTCTTCTGTAGGTTCATGTCGTTGGAAACGCCTCACAGAACAAACTTGTGGTTTAGTTTTACCCTTTGAGCTACCTGTTAGCTCTGTGGGATAGAACTACAAGACAAATCTTCATGTACCATTTCAGGAATGGAAGTAACATGTCATGTTCTCCCTCAGGTACTGGCTCATGCATTTGATATAGATGAAAAAAATTCAAATGGAAAAGCTTGGTAAGAGTGAAAAAGAGCATGTTCTGAGAGATGAAATGTAACTAACATGTTTTAATTGTGTGGGTTGAACTTGCTCTTCAGCCAGGTACCAGACCTCTGTGTTTTTTTCTGGTTGGCTTGAAGCAGATTCTTTTCAATCTGAAAGTGATTTACTGTGCCTTGTGGTGGCTTTAGGTTTAAATTAGAAAGTCTTGCCCTCTAATGTCTGTCCAGTCTTAAAATAACTCAATGAGCATGCTGGATTTTTGCTCTGCGATGTAATTCAGCAATGCTGCTTTTCTGTTGTTAAGTTTCAAAGATTTAAAGTCTGAGTTAATTTCTGAGCATCTCAGCCAGTTTACTGGTACAGTGTTAGAACTCCTGAGTTATATGAAGCATAGTGCTATTCTATAGAACATAGCTTAAAGTAAAAGAAGGACAATACTCACATAAGCCCACTGTGCTGGGAATATAAAGAATACTTGAAAGAATTGTGAGGCTGCTGAAATTGATGAAATTTCTTTTCCCTCTTAGCATGGCAACTTCTGTGAAATTGGTACTTCATTTTGGCTTATCACTAACTCGTGTATGGAGAACTTGAACCTTAACATGCATCTGTTGATGGAGGACTGCTGCGTCTGTTGCACTGAATGGTATCTGCACCCAGCAGCATTCTTCTGATGGGGTGTTCAAAAATCAGTGCTACAGTAGTTCAGCATTTGGCATCGTTGGTTTTCACTCTGCTGTGGTTGTTAAACCTGGTATTCTTGCTGATACAGGCTTTGTCCTCTTCAAGGATTTGAGCACAGTCCTTTTTTGTTGGGCAGGACTTGTCAGTGTGAGAGCTGACTGTGCTGGTTCTCCCTGGTGTGCTCAGTTTGTTTCTCTAAACAGGTCCCCTGGGGTACAGAGCAGTCAATTGGCTGTGTGAAATGGACTAGCTGTGGAAGAGGAAACAGCCTGTTGGACAGGTAAGCACTGAGCTGTCAGTTAAGAAGGTTTTGGGCAAGTTGATGGAAGCTCAGTTGCTGATATGTGACTCTAGAAGATCAAAACTTCAGTAAATTGCCTAGAAACAGAAATGACTGTCCAATAACAGGCGGTCCTGGGCAGCACTCCAGATTTTGGCAGTGTCTGGGTCAGGGTGTGTGCCTGCAAGTTAGTCTTATGTGCTTGTAAAAACAGCAGTAAAGGGAAAAGATCTGGTCATTACCAAGGCTGCAAGGATATTTCTGTTCCTGGTGAGCTGTGGACATGACCATAAAGCAAGTCCATCAGACTCCTGAATTGCTGCATTGTGTGGCAGTAGGTCTGCTGGGAATAAAGCTTTGGTGTAGGCCACAGACACAGCACTACCTTCTGCTGGGTGTTAGTGGTTCTTTTTTGCTACCAGGGAACCCAAGTGCTAGCTAGAATCTTTAGCTGTTGAGCTTAAGCCCCAGAAGCTGCTGTTGACAGAACTGTCATGCATTCAGAATGGAAAACAAAAATCTACTTCTTGTACTTGGCATCCAGCTTCAGTTTAACTCTTCATTTATACTAACCAGATGTGCCTTTGTGTACCCAGATTGCTGCTGTCACTGAATGTTGGGGTTAAGAAGCTGTACCTGAGTGCTGCCACAGCAAGTCTGTAGGTAAGATGTTTAGCAGCAGTGCTGGTACCCAGAAGAAATTCAAGGTCACTTCAAAGAGGGTTTGCATGGCTGGAAAACCAGCAGCTCTTAACGCAGTGACCATACATTGAACTCCTTTTAGCAGGATGCTGTAGCCACTTTGTGTGTGCTGTGGTCTATTTCAGAGGAGACAATCCTTAAGTTACATTGCTGCTTAGAAAGAGAAACTACCTGTAGCTACTGCTGGCAGAATGCCACTTGGTTTCATCTTCAACCATTTGACTTCAGCAAGCATGTACAGGGGTTGGAAGAGAGTATTAATGTAACTGCGGCATGATGAGCTGTCTTGTATCTTTACTGCTTTTCCTTCTGCTTGGGTGTATGGCCTGTTCTTGAAACTGCATGGAAATAGATAATCCCAAAGAGGTGAGGAGGTGGGCAGTAGTGTTGAACTGGAATATTATGGATAGAGTGCATATAGGAATCTGTAATCAGAGCAAGCATGCAAAATGATGCTTTTTGCCCCTAAACAATTTAGTAAAGGATGTATATTTGTGTGCCTGCATTACTGCTGTTACATCAGCACCATGTTATGAAGTTAGGTTGCTTCAACCTATAGGAAGTCAGTAACTTGAAGTGCTTTTCTTTCTCTTGAATTATGGTGCTAATTATTTTTTCTTCCCTCAGGTCCTGATGTGATGTTGCTGCAAGTCTCTTGCAAGAAAGAAAGGGCCAGCTCTTACATGCTCTTAAACACTCCTCTATTTCTTGTAATAATGGAGAATTTAAAATATTTTAACTTAATTGCCCTCCAAGTTGAAGTAGTGGATCAAGGTGTGGCTGTAGTAGGGAAGGATTATCAACTGTGTTCAAACTGTTCCAAGTGTGGAAAAGAGGCTGTTTACTTCATACAAAAAGTAACATTCAAATAAAACTGATGCCTGAAAGAACCAGCTGCAGCCAGAGAATTATTTTGTTATTTTTTGCTACACTGTATAAAGCTAAAGCAGGGATTGTAACTATGTCTGTGTTGTAGCCAAGTGTTACTTTGTCTTCCTTTCTCACCTGGTTACAAGAAAGGAAAAATATTCAGACTGTCAGCAGCCTGTAGAAAAACACTACAGTGAAAGTGAGAGGAAAGCCTGCAGGCTGAAATGAGCCCTCTCTTCCTCCCTTCAGCTGTTTGTCCTGTGTGCACAGGGGAAGGTGTAACAGTCTGAATCTCTTCAGAACTGCAGTACCTCTAACTACAGTGTGAACTGCAGTGTATGTTAACTCTTTACAGAGAAACTCACTAGCTGCTACTTCATACTGCTGTATTTAAAATTTGAACAGACCTGATGGAAATAGAGATTCATGTATTTCAGGTGTTCTGTTCTTACCTACTGCTACAGCAATCAGCACTGTAGCTTAGAACTTGTGCTGTTCTGCCCTTAGCTCTGAAATGAAGCAAATAAACTTGAGTACAGTGATTAATAGGCTCCTCAGGGTGCTGGTTGAGTCACCATCCCAGAAGGTGTTAAACAACTGTCTTGATAGATGTATGTAGTGCTCAGGGACATGGTTTAGCAGTGAGTTGTTACAGCAGCATGGTTAGGTTGAGGCTGGAATTGATGATCTTGCTGACCAACCCAAGCAGTTCTATGGACAGTTTTTGCAAGGTGCAGTTGGCTGGTAGAAGGCAAGCTTAAACCCACAAGTGGAGACACATCCTTAAATGATGTTATTCTGTTGGCTTCAGGGACTTTGAGATGTACAGCTGCTGCACAAACCTGTACTTTGTATTGAGGATTGTGTGATTAATTACTGTTCCTACTAAACATGAGAAAAATGAATAAAAGTTTCAGCTTTTTGAAAATGAATCTTATTGTCACAGTACTATGAAATCAGTGTTTTTTAAAAACACTTTATTTGATATTTATATTACAAGTAGTATAAACTCTTTCAAACATTAAGGCACAAAGCTTTCCTGTGGTGTCATTCTACTCAGTGCTGGTTGCCACATATTAAAAGTAGATGGCACTGTAGAAAGCATCTGTCACTCATCACCTGAATTAGTTTAATGCAGTTCTTACTGTTAAATACTCTGAGTTGTATCAGCACAGCAATGTTTCTTGGTTAGAGGCTTCTCCTAGTCTGGGTGTTTTCCCTGGCTTCTTAGCTCGTAGTTTTTCCAGCATTTTCTGCAAGATTTAAAATCATATGAGAATAGCATAACTTAAGAAACGGTGATAATAAAACTAAGCTGTACAAGTGAGATAATGCGGCTGTATAACTGAGAGAAGTATAAGAGCAGGTGGAAGAGTCTTTCCAGGGAAGCACCAAGTCTTCTGCTTGTATCACACTCAGCAATACTGTTTGACACTAGCAGCTGGGTCCCCTCAGTCCTTTTATTTGACCTCAGGTCACTACAAGAATTCACTCTCAGGCTGATGCCCTTTAGAGAAAACCCAGCTATAAGGGCTGCACTGTATTAGCACACTGCCTTGACTGGGGCAGTCTTAGACAGACTAAGCCAATAGCAATGCTTATGAAATCTCTAAAAGCTCACTGAATGAGCAAAGGCAGTAACTCCCAAGAGGCCATGCTGAAATGTTAAGACCTGGTTTATGGTCTGTTCAGTCATCACCACAGAATTATTGTTTTCCAGGCTGATTAGAAGCTAAGGGCCATGAATTGACCAGCTTGAGATGCTAAGAGGGGCTTACTTTACCTTTTGAAACTCCTTAGCCTTTTCTCTGTTTTTAGCATAAGTTTCCTGCCTCGTTCTTTCTTCTTTTCTGATCTTTACTTCTGAAAGTTGATTATAAAGTCTGTCAAAACATTAGAAAAAAATATTGTCAGGAAGGAAGGTGGGAAAGCAGGAGTACATTAACAGCCTTAAGGGTTTATACTGTCAACTGCGAGAAATTAAAAGCAATTCTGACTTAGCTATCCTCTGATCTGGCATCATTTCAACTAACTCTTCTAACTGACCTAACAAAGACCCCACTCTACCACTGCATTTGTACAGATGCATCATTACTAAATGCTGAGTGCAGCTAGGCAGGCTGCCAGTGTTACTTGCTGCAAGCTTGGCAAGAGCATGTCTCTGTGCATACCTGTATAAACACACACTGTTAGGGGCTCACATCAACAACTTTTCATTTATTTTGTTTAAATCTAAACTTCTTCCACTGTTCACACAGTACCTTGAGGTGCGCTGATACATTTCAGCTTCTCCAGCCTTCCTGTCTTCTGGAGAAGATACTTTCACTTCTCCTACTTTCTTCAGCTGATTGACAACTGCACCTTTTTTCCCTTCAAAAAACACCAATACAAAACGTATCCTAAATCTCTAATCCAAATAATACATCCATTCCTAATACAAACTACTGCACTCCAGTAAAGGTTTGCTCAGTACCCAGTATTAGTTTCATAAACTAATTGTAAAAAGAAAAAAAAACAATTGTCCATGACAGAGTTTTTCAGTATACAAGAACTCAAAAGCATAAGAGGTTTCAAAGGTTGAGATGGAACTAGAAAGAAAGCAGAGTTGGTACAGTGGAGATGACTGTCATAAAAACCACTGTGCCTCATCATGAGGCTGGTGGCTGTACTTGGAGCTAGTTGTGCTTCTCAACAGCTGCCTGCCAAATTGCTAAGAGGCATTAGAGATGCATTAGTTCACTTAGTACAGTTCTTTGACAATCAGTTGTTTTGCAAAGACACATTATGTTGATAAATGCAGTCTGCTTACAACATGAGACACAGCCAAACTGGGGAAAAGGAGCTCCCACATCCCTAAGGAATTAAAGAATATCCCCAACTGCAAAGGCGAAGATGCAACAAATAGGAAGGCTTTTCTTTGATATTTAATCACAAAAGCAGTCCTGGGCCCATGTCACATGCCCAAGTAAACATACCAGGGGTAAGGCGACGTTCCTTTTGACTGCTTAATGCCTCACACTTTTTCCTTTGAAACTGTCTGCCTTCTGGCTTTTCATTTTTTCTCTCTCTTTGTTTTATTTCTTCAACTCTTCTCAGGGATTTCTGGATGAAGTCCTTCTTTCTTTTTAAGAACAATTCTTGCAAACTCCCTGGTGCAGAAGCAGACTCCAGCAGCATCACTGAGAAAGAAAAGTCCAAGTGTTTCTCACTTTCTGCAAAGAAACCACTTTTACTAATTCATACATTTCAATACATTTCTTCTAAGATGTTGACCATGACCTGTTTTGACAAACAGTGTCAGGAAGTGACATTTTGGCACAATAAGCAGTAATTCAGAGCTATGGAATCTAGAAACCATAAGCAGTACTGCCAAGACAGATACTGCACCAAAACACACCAAAGACCTGAAAAGCTCCTAACAAATGGTTACATCCTGGTAGATCCTTTCTTTTTTGTTTCACTATTATGTTCTACACTGTCATCAGAACAGAGTAGGACACCTTTTAACTGCAGAGGTTCCCAACTGATAGGAGACAAAAACAAGGGAAGGTGCACCACATACATAATGACAAGCAACAAAATATCACAAGAGTTTCAAAATTAAATAGTTACACATAAAAGCAAATAAAGTCTCAGTAATTACAGCCATTACCATCTATAGTTTAAGATGGCCTACTATAGGAAGAGACAGGTATTTCCTTGTCAGTAAAACACACATCAAAACTGGGCCAAACATACACAAATCAAGGCCAAACAGCAACATGCACCTGTCTAAGAGAAGTTATGTTTTCCAAAGGAGAGGTGTATCTCAACAATGACTTTGTAAGTTAAAACTTCAGTATAGTGAAGCTGTACAGAATTACCTGCAGTCTGATGTGATGGACACTGACCCTCGTTAGCACTGTGGGCTTTGGAAGAGCCGTCAGGCCTTGCGAGCACTGAACAATCTGCATCTGGAACCAGTGGTAAAAATTCTCTTTTCTGTTTCAAAAGGAAACAGAAAAGTTGAAAACGCAGAATATACACCACAAATCTGAAGTAGTCATACAGTACCCTAGCATGGACAAGATATAAGAAAAGACAGTCTCTTCCCTTTAGCAGATGCAAGAAAACATCAGAAATGGATAGTGACAGTATTAGAATGCTTCTGAAAACATCCAAAAACTTTAAAAAGAAACCCATTGCAGTCCTTTTGCCCAACAGATGAACTAAGACTCACCTCAGTCAGAACACTGACGGCAGACCTGTCTGCACATGCCGGGTTATTTGTTTTATCCTCACTACTTCCCTCTTGGTTCATATGTTCAGTGTCTGATTCTGCAATACTGATGTCATTTGAGCTCACAAGAGTGAGTTCAGGTTCTTCCATAATACCACGCCCTGACTCAGTTTCCTAGCAAATAGAAGACACAAAACCTCAGTGCAAAAGCTATGTATCATTTTATATAATACAAAATATTAATGTATATAAACGATCTATGCATTAAAATCTATTTTAATTATACATATTTTAAAACCATTATTACTAGAAATAGCAAAAGCTGCTAGCTTGTAAGAGGCTCATTCAACACAGAAAAAAAAAGAATCTGCCCCAAGCAATAATGAAATCCAGGATTGCCTTGCCCAAGGTGTGAATTGATACCTCAAACCAATCCAACATGAAGTACAGTGGTTTGGTTTGTTTTTTAAAATCAGTAACTAAAAAACAAATAACCCAAAGCAATCAAACAAAGCTCTCTTCTATTCACCTCAATTTAAATTGCTGAAATCTAGTTTCAGGCCAGGTTGGTTGGTTTGTTTTAAAAATGAAAAAGGAAATAAGTTTCACATAATTTTCAATTATTTATGCTTTGGTTCTATTATTTACCTCCCAGACTGGGTTAAGATCAGTTATGTAACTGTGCAGTTTCATGCCATGCTGCACCAATTAACATCACAGCTAATTGTTTCAGTGCTGTGATCTAAAAGAGCAAGGAGAGCAAATGTCCAAGAAACATGCAAGTCTGAAACCAGAACTATAAAAAGAACATTTGCCAAGTTTTCAGATGTTAAAGATCTAAAATAGCTTGGTAAAGGAAAAAAAAAAAAGGACACAAGTAAAAGCAAGTAAACCACCAAAATACCTGCACAAAATAGTACTTACTTTGGGAAAACTGTTCTACTTACCCAGATTGGAATACGAGATGAGCCTCCAGCCACAGAGTTAGAGTGTTTTTCATGCCTTCCCAAGCAGAAAGCATTCTGTTTTACTACTGCCTGTAAATTAACGTCTGGGGCTTCCAAACTGATGTCTTCAGGAATCCTTGAAGACTTTTGTATTTCAAGAAAACTTTCACCTGGCTCCTTTGCATTTGTACTGCAATGCAAATCCACCTCCACAGCTTTATCTGCTTCAGGTACATGAAATAATTTTTCAGGGAGCTTCACGTACTTCCTATCAAGTACCTTGACAGGTAATTTTTCAGAAGACAGAATCTCTTTTTTGAATGCTATGCCCTCTTTCAATGTGTGTTGAGGGAAAGGTTCATCCACTGTCACTGGTGTGGTACTGAGCTGATAAAATGATTTTTGTTCTTCCAGCGAATTCAGACTTTGGTTTCGCATATCCTCCACTGAACACTGCAGACCAACACATTCCATACTCCTCACCAGTTCTTCATATTGTCTGTCAGATGAAACGCCGTTCTCACTGCACCCATTTTTAATCCCAGGATTTAGTTCCAAGGAGCTCTCTGACACCACATTAATGCCTGCTGGCCAAGCAGCATTCTGACAGCGATTGCTCAGAGCAGGTTCCAATTGCAGCGGGTGAAAAGATTCTTGCAAACCTGTTCCAAACAGTTAGAGTCAAAATGTGAGCTTAACACCACCACATTTCATCTTTAAAGAAATTCCTCCTTAACAGGGCTTTTGAGGAACGCGTGGACATCTATGCAAATAACAAGGTTAATAAACTACATCAGACCTCCCTACAGTCTTCTTTTCCCCAAGCTGAACAGACCCAGGTCTCTCAGCCTTTCCTCATACAGGAGATGCTCCAGGCCCTTTACCATCTTTGTGGTCCTCCGCTGGACTCCTAGGAGATCCCTGACCTTTTTGAACTGGGCAACTCAGAACTGGATACAGCAGTCTAAATGTGGCCTCACCAGGGCAGAACAGAGGGGGAGGATCACCTCCCTTGACCTGCTGGCCGTGCTCTTTTTCAGGAGGTTCCATAAATTGAATAGTTCAAACTTACAAAATGAGGGAATGAACAATTTTTTTTTGTAAAACTTAACTTATTAATTTCACCCACCACTGGAATTAATGCACTATCATCATAATTGCTGCACCAAGTCAGTGCCATCTGCTATAGCACCTTCAATACAAAAGCAGATCCTTGCATTCAAGCAATAACTGCTAAGTAAAGACCTTAACATTTTTGAGTTCTACACATTAAAGGTGGTGGAGAAGATGGTGTCTAAGAGAGCAGAAGTAGAGTTAAAACATTTCAAAGCAGAACTTATTTAGAAGTAAAGAGTTCCTTCCCAGTTTCAACACAACAAAACAAGCTTAAAGGTTGGTATTTACATATTGGCAATGGTTCCATGCTTATAGCATTGATCAGATTGCACTGTACACACCCAGAGCAACGTTCTCTTTGAAACACTCTTCTGATGTAACGTTGTTTGGCTTGCTTGTTTCAAGACTGCCCATCAGACTGCCTCTTTGTATATTCAAATTGGAGGTTCTCACTTCTAGAAACGTAGACTGATCTTCACTTTCTGTTGCAAATGTTGAAATCTAGTGGCAGAAAAAAATCCTGATTAGGCTTCATTTCATTTTATTTTTAGGAATATGAAGGATGAAAAGTTAATTGGCTTTTTGGATCACATTTCTCCTACAAACAGCAGAAATGCTTCCAGTTCCACACGTGTAAAAAATTGCTATGGCATTTCATAAAATGAAATTTCAAGCCAAATAGAGCTTTTCTGCAGTACCTTCTTCAATTCTTTGTTGCCCTGTTGAATCTTGTAGTGAGAAATTGGTGATGAAACACTGAAGGCAGGACTTGGTTCCAAAGGCTGAAATAGCCCATGGCAGAAGTTAGGAAAATGCCTCTCAGTTTCAGGAAAATCAAACTCAGCTGCTAGAGCTGTAAGAAAAGAAAAGAGATCATTTTTAAAAAATGGAAACTGACATCTCCTACCTTGCTTGTGGATGGAAAAAGGAGAGGATATAGATTTCCACAGGTAAACAAATGCTAGCTTGCAAAAACACATCTTCACAGCACTCAACTCCTTCACACTGACACAGTGCAAGTACAACTGCTGCAAGAAAGTGCTGAGGTCAAGAAGCTCTCTGTTAAGCACCTGAGAGATTGCATTAGAAGCATTGTCCTGTTCTGGGTTTCCCAGTACAAAACATACACACTGATACACTCAGCAAGCAGCCACACAAGCAAGCAGCTCACAAGCAGTGAGCAGCCACAAAAATGATTAAGGATGAAACACACAATGTTCAAAGAGAAACTTAAAAACTGGGTTTGTTCAGTTTTGCACAAAGTACTGAGAGCGTGGGGGAACAGGCACAGAAATCTCTGCTGTCTATGCTATCCTAGAAGGAAATACAGGGAAGGGGCAGACAGCCTCTTGTTGAAACTACTCAGTGAAAGAAAAGAGGCTCAAGACAATGGACAAAAGATGCAACAAAGGAAATTCTGGTTACATACCAACTCTTTGAAAGGGTAGATAACAGCAGGACAAGGGAAAATCGTTTTAAGTTGAGGGAGGGAAGATTTAGGTTGGATGTCAGGGGGAAATTCTTTACAGAGAGAGTGGTGAGGTGCTGGAACAGGCTGCCCAGAGAGCTTGTGGATGCTCCGTCCCTGGAGGTGCTCTGGGTAGCCTGGTCTAGTGTTAAATGGGGAGGTTGGTGGCCCTGCATGCAGCAGAGAGGATTGGAGCTTCACAATCCTTGAGGGCCCCTTCAACCCAGGCCATTCTATGATTCTGTGATGTAAAGAAAAAAATTCCCAATTAAGGTTTTTAAGCAAGATGTCTGAGTGGTATGAAATTCTTCCACTGGAGATAATCAAAACTTGGCTGGACAAGCCCATAAGCAAGCAAATAACCTCTCATTTGAGCAGGAATAAGAATTTCTGGTCTAGATTCATAGAATAATAAATGGCCTGGGTGGAGAAGGACCACAATGATCACCCAGTTTCAACCCCTCTGCTATGTGCAGGGTCACCAACCAGCAGACCAGGCTGCCCAGAGCCACATCCAGCCTGGCCTTGAGTGCCTCCAGTGATGGGGCATCCACAACTCCTTGGGCAACCTGTTCCAGTGTGTCACCACCCTCTGTGTGAAAAACTTCCTCCTAATATCTAACCTAAACCTCCCCTGTCTCAGTTTACAACCATTCCTCCTTGTCCTATCACTATCCACCCATGTAAACAGCTGTTCTCCCTCCTGTTTATATGATCCCTTCAAGTTCTGGAAAGCCACAATGAGGTCTCCACAGAGCCTTCTCTTCTCCAAGCTAAATAATCCCAGTTCCCTCAACCTTTCCTCATAGGAGAGGGGTGCTCCAGCCCTCTGATCATCTTAGTGCCCCTCTTCTGGACCCGCTTTTAATTAATATAAAGATTAATA